TATGACTCTTTCATGTATCTGGCTTTAAAGCCCCTAGTCTACCTTCAGACAGACTATTTATGTAGGCTGCTTTATTTATCTTATGTTTTAGTCACCCTGTACCCATTATAGGTGCAGGGTGTGTGTAATGTAATTGTTTATAGTGTGTGTGTGTGTACTGTGTAATGTATTGCCTGCTCTCTTGTATTGCTGAGGTTTGCTACCAACTAGGTGGGTTTGGCTATGGAACTTGTCTAGTGCCCTCTGTTGGTAGCAACAGCAATATGCACTACCTGAATTGCAAGACTGGTTCATTTGCATATTCGGGTAGATTTGCATATTGCTAATTCTGCAGGCAGGTGAGATATTTACTGTTAAATATTGTCTCCCCCCACCCCTTTAAAAATGTGCCATTGTGTTGTGATAAGTCACTGTGTGTTGCTTGATATGGTTTGACTGTTTGTGATTTTATTGAGGTTTCACAACAATGTTATTGTGGTGACCCTATTGGCTGGTCCCAAGGGAAATAAAGGTTTTGACCGTTCTTCTTGATCCCTCTAAACGTAGCCTTGTCTCGTAATTGGAGGGAGCTGTTATAATCGCACTGGGGATTGCTATGTTCTGCATGCTCCCCTGAGCTTGAGTCACTTCCTGACACGTTCTCATTGGAGGAGGGGTCTTCAACACACAGTCCTGGATGCTGGAGGTTCATACAGGGTGGAGGGAAGAGTTCTTTGGAGACTCCAGTCAAGATACGGCAGTTGCGGAGTCTGCGGTGGTTGTGGTGTCTGCTGCAGCGCTTGGAGTCCTCAGGAAGCGCTAGGAGCATCCGTCAACGGAGGGTACTCGGTCGGAGTACAAGGAGCTCCGTTACAATAGGTTTAAAACTCACTCATGTCATCAGTGAGAATCAATTTAAAATCAACCTAACAATTCGATTAACACCTGGAGGCGAGATTGAAACGGAGCTGTATCGGAAACCAACCTCCTGTAATAACTTACTGCACTGGAATAGTGTCACGTATTCATCCGCTTATAGAAATGTGGTTAATGACATTTACTGTCCACACAGGAAAAGTTGTGCCAAGCAGCAACCTAATCCACAGAAGGTTTAATGCTGAGCAGTAATTGTGCAAATGAAACCTGGTCTCATGTATTCATACGCTTATAGAAAAGTGGTTAATGACATCCTCATAGCTGCTTGCGAGAGGAAATTAGAGGAGAATGATCACCGCATGGATCAATTCACTCAGGCTTTAAGTACGCTTCTCGCTAGAACGGAGCATCTGCAGCCTGCAGCGTCTCCTCCTATAGCACCTCTACCCTGTATACCTCCACCCACTGTTAATAGGACTCCTTGCATCTCCTTATCACCATCCCTACAGTTTGATGGCAATATCCAGGAATGCAGGGGTTTTCTTAATCAGGTGGAGTACCATTTTGAGGCCTCACCAGGGTCATTCCCCCACGGACAGAGCAAGAATTGGTTATCTAATAAATCAATTAAAGGGCAAGGCCCTTGTCTGGGCTAATCCGTTGTGGGAGAGTAATCGGAGCATAGCTCATAATTACCAGGAATTCCTTGCCGAATTCAAGCTCACGTTTGAGCCATTGGGTAGAGAGGATGACGCCTCCACTGCCCTAATGCACATCAGACAAGGTAACCGGTCTATCTGGGATTATGCTATTGAGGTAGACTGGACTAACAATGGGTTAATCTCAGCATTCAAAAAGGGTCTCTCAGAGACTATACTAGATGAGATAGCCGCTAAAGAATTACCTAAGAGTCTTAACGAATTTATTACGTTTGTCATGCATATTGATAATAGTTTAAGACTCAGAGAAGTCACCAGAAGCAAGACCAGACGTACGGCTATGTCCCTAGCACCTCAATTCTCTAAACCTGTTTTGTCTAACCTCCCTGTACAGTCCGAACCCGAACCTATGCAGTTGTGGGTCACTAGACTGTCAGAGGCCGAAAAACAGTATAGGAGAAAGGAGGGGTTATGCCTATATTGCGGTAGAAAGGGACATATGATAACTAATTGTCCAGTGCGTCCGGGAAAACTTCCGCACCTAAGAACCTTAAGGGGACAGATCTTAGGTGTGATGGAGTTGTCCTCTAACAAAAACAAAAGTAGATTCCTCCTTGAGGTATCTATTTCCCTTGATAACAAGAAGTTTTCTTACAGTGCCCTAATGGACTCAGGTGCTGCTGGAAATTTTATTGATGTCCAGTTTATTAGGGGTAATGAGATACCGGTCAGGGAGAGACCTACGCCGCTAGCTGTAGAGGCTATTGATGGTAGACCACTCACACAAACGCTTATAACCCACGAAACTGTCCCTATTACGATCTCCATTGGGGCCTCCCATAGGGAGGAGATGACGTTTCAGGTTATTACTTCTCCATCATGTCCTATCATATTAGGGTTTCCGTGGCTGAGTAAGCACAATCCCTATATTGACTGGGCTAATGAGGCGATATTAGAATGGGGTAAAGAGTGTATGGGGAGATGTATAAAACCAGTACTAAAGAGATTGGATACTACTGACCTTCCCACTACCACTCCCAAACTCCTGGAGTTCCCATACAATACCGAGAACGTCAGGAGGTGTTTAACAAGGCTCAATCTGATGTATTGCCTCCCCACAGAGCATATGTTTCCAGGCGCTATGCCACCTAAGGGGGCAGTTTATGCCTTATCTCCCCAGGAGAGTAAAATAATGGAGGAATATATCAAAGAATCCTTGAGCAAAGGGCACATAAGAAAGTCATCCTCACCAGCTGGTGCAGGATTCTTTTTTGTTGAGAAAAAGGGTGGTGAGTTACGCCCTTGCATAGACTACAGGGTACTTAATAAAATCACTGTAAAAAATGCATACCCTATTCCACTCATTTCCGAATTGTTCGATAGACTTCAGGGAGCTAAAGCTTGACCTTAGGAGCGCTTACAATTTGGTTAGAATTAAAGAGAATCATGAGTGGAAGACGGCATTTAATACCCGTAGTGGACACTATGAATATCTGGTAATGCCATTTGGGTTATGCAACGCCCCGGCCGTATTCCAAGACTTTATAAATGATGTACTCGGGGAATTCATTTACTCATTTGTCTTGGTTTATTTGGACGATATTTTGGTGTATTCCCCTGATCTTCAGACTCACCACTCCCATGTGAAACAGGTTCTGCAGACGTTGTTGAAAAATAAACTTTATTGTAAATTAGAAAAGTGCATATTTGACCAGCCTGAAGTCCACTTTTTGGGTTACAACATCTCTGCATCAGGATTTCAAATGGATCCTAAAAAACTAGAGGCTGTACTACACTGGCCATTACCCTCTGGTTTAACCCCTTAAGGACACATAACATGTGTGACATGTCATGATTCCCTTTTATTCCAGAAGTTTGGTCCTTAGGGGGTTAAAAGCCATTCAAAGGTTTATTGGTTTTGCCAACTATTACAGAAGATTCATCAAGGGATTTTCTTCTGTAATAGCCCCAATCACAAATATGACTCGCAAAGGGGTTAGTAGCACGGTATGGTCCAAAGAGGCTGTGAATGCTTTTGAGACTCTTAAACAAAGATTTGCCTCTGCGGACATACTAAAACATCCTGACACTAGTAAACCTTTTATATTGGAGGTTGATGCATCCGAGACAGGGGTAGGGGCTGTTCTCTCTCAGAGAGAAAGCCAGGGAACACCATTGCATCCTTGTGGCTACTTCTCCAGAAAGATGTCTCCTGCTGAGCGCAACTATGATATTGGCAATAGAGAACTGTTGGCTATTATTCTTGCCCTCAAGGAGTGGCGACATCTTTTGGAGGGTTCCAAGGACCCCCTGTTGATCATAACCGACCACAAAAATCTGGCATATATAGGGGATGCCAAACGCTTGTCTTCCAGACAGGCTAGATGGTCACTGTTCCTTTCACGTTTTAACTTTCTCATTACTTATAGACCTGGTTCTAAAAATACCAAGGCTGATGCCTTGTCCAGGCAATTTGATAATGAGTCAGCTCCGAACAGGTGACATCTCCTATTATTCCACCAGAGTGTATTATTGCTACTACTGTCCTCTCACTGTCTTCTCCACTGCTTGGCACCATACTGGAGGCCCAGCCTCAGGCGCCCAGTGGTAAACCGTGTGATAAACTGTTCGTTCCCCTGTGTGAAAGGGTTAATATCATGAAAGTGTTCCATGACAATATAACTGCTGGACACCCGGGCATCAATAAGTCCACTGTCGCGATCACTAGATCATTTTGGTGGGATTCACTCAGGAAAGATGTAAAGGAGTATGTGCAGGCATGTTCTGTGTGTGCAGTTTCTAAGGTGACTCATGCACTTCCTTGTGGCCTGTTGTAGCCTCTTCCTGTTCCTGAGATTCCATGGTCCCACCTATCCATGGACTTTATTGTTGAGCTTCCTAGCTCTGCTGGGTTCACTACTATTCTCATGGTTGTAGACCGATTTTCTAAGATGGCTCACTTCATTCCTCTTAAGAAGTTGCCATCTTCGCAAGATTTGGTCCTAATTTTCATTCATGAAATTGTCCGTTTGCATGGCATCCCCCACAATATTGTGTCTGATAGGGGCTCTCAGTTTGTGTCCAGGTTCTGGAGGGCGTTCAGTAAACAATTGGGGATTGATTGATCTCTCCTCCTCCTACCATCCACAGACCAATGGTACAGCTGAGAGGGCTAACCAGTCATTAGAAGTTTATTTGCGTTGTTTTATTAACCCCTTAAAGGACCACTATAGTGCCAGGAAAACATACTCGTTTTCCTGGCACTATAGTGCCCTGAGGGTGCCCCCACCCTCAGGGACCCCCTCCCGCCCGGCTCTGGAAGGGGAAAGGGTACAACTCACCTTTTCCCAGCGCCAGCTTGAGCCCTCCCTCCGGCCCCTAGGACATTCTGCCTCTCACCGTGGTGCCGAATGCGCCATCGCCGCGTTATGCCGCGCCAAGATTCAGCCGGTCTCATAGGAAAGCATTACAATGCTTTCCTATGGACGCTGGCGTGCTCTCACTGTGATTTTCACAGTGAGAAGCACGCAAGCGCCTCTAGTGGCTGTCAATGAGACAGCCACTAGAGGATTAGGGGGAAGGCTTAACCCATTCATAATTATAGCAGCTTCTCTGAAACTGCTATAATTATGAAAAAATGGGTTAACCCTAGAAGGACCTGGCACCCAGACCACTTCATTAAGCTGAAGTGGTCTGGGTGCCTAGAGTGGTCCTTTAAGGACGGAACCAAATGTACACGCAGAACAAAACAAAATGTAAACAAAACCTGGCATTTGCGCTACATGTCTGTCCAACCGTAATTCACCTCTTTCATATTAAATGCACCCACCCTTATTATATATCATTTTATTCAGGGGAAACAGGGCTTTCATTTAATATCAAATATTTAGCTATGAAACATAATTTAATATGAAAAAAATTGGAGAAAATACGATTTTTTTTTTTTTTTTAGTTCTACATGACATTTTAACGGTCAATGTCATAATACTGTTTGCTTTTACTGCAATAAAATACACATATTTGTATTCAGTAAAGTCTCACGTGTAAGACAGTACCCCCTATGTACAGGTTTTATGGCGTTTTGGGAAGTTACAGGGTCAAATATAGCACGTTACATTTGAAATTGAAATTCGCCAGATTGGTTACGTTGCCTTTGAGACTGTATAGCAGCCCAGGAATGAAATTTACACCCATAATGGCATACCATTTGCAATAGTAGACAACCCAAGGTATTGCAAATGGGGTATGTCCAGTCATTTTTAGTAGCCATTTGGTCACAAACACTGGCCAAAGTTAGCGTTGGTATTTGTTTGTGTGTGAAAAATCCAAAAATGCCAATTTTGGAATGATATGGATTTCTGCTCAAATTGGTCATAAAATGTGATCTGATCATCATCTAAGTCACAACAATAGACAATCACAGTCTGCTTAAACTAATAACACACAAAGAATGAAATGTTGCCATCTTTTTATTGAACACACCATGTAAACATTGCAGGTGGAAAAAGTATGTGAACCCCTAGACTAATGACATCTCCAAGAGCTAATTGGAGTGAGATGTCAGCCAACTGGAGTCCAATCAATGAGATAAGATTGGAGGTGTTGGTTACAGCTGCCCTGCCCTATAAAAAACACACACCAGTTCTGGGTTTGCTTTTCACAAGAAGCATTGCCTGATGTGAATGATGCCTCGCACAAAAGAGCTCTCAGAAGACCTACGATTAAGAATTGTTGACTTGCATAAAGCTGGAAAGGGTTATAAAAGTATCTCCAAAAGCCTTGCTGTTCATCAGTCCATGGTAAGACAAATTGTCTATAAATGGAGAAAGTTCAGCACTGCTGCTACTCTCCCTAGGAGTGGCTGTTCTGTAAAGATGACTGCAAGAGCACAGCGCAGACTGCTCAATGAGGTGAAGAAGAATCCTAGAGTGTCAGCTAAAGACTTACAAAAGTCACTGGCAAATGCTAACATCCCTGTTAGCGAATCTACAATATGTAAAACACTAAACAAGAATGGATTTCATGGGAGGATACCACAGAGGAAGCCACTGCTGTCCAAACAAAACATTGCTGCACGTTTACAGTTTGCACGAGAGCACCTGTATGTTCCACAGCAGTACTGGCAAAATATTCTGTGGACAGATTAAATCAAAGTTCAGTTGTTTGGAAGAAACACACAACACTATGTGTGGCGAAAAAAAGGCACAGCACACCAACATCAAAACCTTATCCCAACTGTGAAGTATGGTGGTGAGGGCATCATGGCGTGGGGCTGCTTTGCTGCGTCAGGGCCTGGACGGATTGCTATCATCGGAAGAAAAATGAATTCCCAAGTTTATCAAGACATTTTGCAGGAGAACTTAAGACCATCTGTCTACCAGCTGAAGCTCAACAGAAGATGGGTGTTGCAACAGGACAATGACCCAAAGCATAGAAGTAAATCAACAACAGAATGGCTTAAACAGAAGAAAATACACCTTCTGAAGTGGCCCAGTCAGAGTCCTGACCTCAACCCAATTGAGATGCTGTGGCATGACCTCAAGAAATCGATTCACACCAGACATCCCAAGAATATTGCTGAACTGAAACAGTTCTGTAAAGAGGAATTGTCAAGAATTACTCCTGACCGTTGTGCATGTCTGATCTGCAACTACAGGAAACATTTGGTTGCAGTTATTGCTGCCAAAGGAGGTTCAACCAGTTATTAAATGCAAGGGTTCACATACTTTTTCCACCTGCACTGTGAATGTTTACATGGTGTGTTCAATAAAAACATGGCAACATTTCATCCTTTGTGTGTTATTAATTTAAGCAGACTGTGATTGTCTATTGTTGTTACTTAGATGATGATCAGATTACATTTTATGACCAATTTGTGCAGAAATCCATATCATTCCAAAGGGTTCACATACTTTTTCTTGCAACTGTATATATATATATATATAATAGCAAAAAGTATAGCTGCACTCACGGTTGAGAGATAAAATCATCAATGCTTTATTTGGTCATTTAAAATAAGGATCGACGTTTCAGTCCATCTTGTGGACTTTCCTCAGGATCAAAACATGTTTTGATCCTGAGGAAGGTCCACAAGCTGGATTGAAATGTCAATCCTTATTTTAAATGACCAAATAAAGCATTGAAGAGGTTATCTCTCAACCGTGAGTGCAGCTATACTTTTTGCTATTTTCTGGATACACTTGAGCCCAGGCTGGCACCCGGCGACTTTTTTGAAATATTACAGCTTGAGTGCAGGGACGTTCTCTCTCTCTCTCTCTCTCTCTCTTGTAGGAAATCACTCACAGGACTTGGTATGGTTCAAAAATAGTGCTTCTTTATTGCAGCAAAAATTTCAAGTAAAAAGTGTCAACGTTTCAGTCCCATCTGGACTTTTAGCACCAAGGCATTATGGCCAGAATTAGCACCAAGGCATTACAAGACCGGGAGCAGTGAGTGCGGGACACGAGGAGAATATATATATATATATATATATATATATACACACACACACACACACACTATCCACATATAACGAACTATAATTATATCATATTATATCATATATAAATAGTACTAAGTTAATAATATAGAATATTCATGGATATAATATCAATGAAGAAATGTCATATTATTTACTAATGCTAATGTTAATGGAATATGTGTAATAGACATGTATAAATCACATGTGTAATATTACTATGTGCTACACACGTTTTCACACAAGAAAACCAAACACAGGATTACAGAATGACAGATAACACTAAGTAATTAATTTTACTTTTTAAAAAATCTTACAAAGTCCCATTGTATAGAGAGGTGAAGAAGAGTTTAGGACGTGTCAGAAACTATTAATAGCACAAAAGTAGATGATCTGTCTAGTAAAAACCAAAGAAAAGCCTTTGAAGATTGGCTTGATGAATGATCCAAAAAGCTTTTTGATGAATGATAATCCAAAAAATAACCAAGATTACGTCAAACGCATCACGAAATTCAGTTAACCCATTATACAAAAAGGTAAAGGGACCCCCTGAAAACATTTTCTGTGATGTAATTGCACCATCTACTGACCAAAATCTAGATGATAGTCTGTAGGGAAGACACACCCACCTTACGCTATTGGTCACTGTCTCCTTTAAAAATTAAGGACAAAGGAAAGAGAGACACTCTCGCTGGGGATGGGACATCTAACATTTAAGATCTGACATCTGGAGCCAAAGCTGGGCACACCTAACTCTTTGTTTCTTTTCCAACTAACACTTAACTTTGAAATTCTTTAACATTTAGAACTCTGAAAAGTCTATATCACTTTTAACTTTAAAATTAGAATACCAGGCAATTATCCAGATATATTAGCTTACGTTCTTTAGAAATCGTAAAATATTAATTAGGAAAGTTAAAATTCTGCAAATGTAAAATCTGGATAGAATTATTCTTATTAGATGGACATAGTAATGGTTAAATGATCTGGTATGAGAAATATTGTATTTGTAAAAATTGCAATATAAAAGGATATCTTTCCTATGAGAATTGTAAGCAGCAGGGAATGAGTTTATTCAGTGTGATTTGACTGTCAGCTAAAGTTTTTATTACTTTACGCTGTGCTGCTGTGAGATACGGTGTTCTGTGTTAAGGTATGTTTAGCAAGCTGATTTCAAAGTGGTGTCCTTTTGTAAATCTTGTTGAAAACTGCATACATGCTGATATAATGTTGCTAGATTGAACTATCTATAAATTGTGTTAAATCACTGCCATATTGTATACTTATGCTATACCTAAATATTCACTGATTATTATCACGCATGTCACACATTATTATTATTATGTAACAATAAATTATATTTTTATAATTAGTTTGTGATTAATGTGTGAAATAAAAATCCTCTAATGAAACGTACTCCAGGATCTATGAGAATTAAAAATAGTGGGTAATTCTCAGATTTAAATCATTAATCGGGGAAACAGTGACATCATAGTGTTTAGATTTATTTATGGACACACCCTTATAGTGGGCAGCGTCCAAACATTTGTTTGCTGATCTATGTATGTTTCTCCACACAGCTAGATGGGAGCTGCTCAGCATGGAGCAGGTAAGTATCATCCATCCCCAGGAGAAAACGTCCACTGGAACCAGGCTTGCCCAGGTGACGGAGATGAAACGAACGGATCAGTCGGGGACCTTGGACATCAACGTGAGGGATAAAACTAAATTCTTCAGGACCATATCCCTTCCAATAGACAAGATACTGAAGACTGACCCTAAGGAATCTAGAGTCAAGGAGAGCATGACCTCGTATTCCTCAACCTCCTCAACAGAAACAGGAGGCAGAGGAGCATGAGGCCAAATAAAATGATTCAGCAAGGAGGTTTACACATGGAACAAGGCAAGTTCAAAGCAAACGAAACAGAGTTTACCTTGCACAGAATGCGGAAAGTACCAATAAAACGAGGAGCAATCTTCATGGAAAGTACCCAGAGCTGGATATTTTGGGTAGAAAGCTGGACCCTGTCCCCCACCACATAGGAAGGAGCTGCACAATGAAGCCTATTCACCCGAGCCTTCTGTCTCTGAGCAGAATCAGCCAAGAGCTTGTGTACCTGCTCCCAAGTATCATATAAACCAGTCATGTTCTCATGAATTCCCTGTGAGTAGAATGCAGTTGGAGCAACAGCAAGATGCGGGACATAGACA